TGTGTGTGTGTATAAGGTGCTGTTTTTGTATGACAACCCAGTGACAAGGAGATTTAAGTTGTTCATTAAGATTGTATAACCACATATTGGACTTCTATTTTAATTTAATTTTTAATTTAAGAAACTGTCAAGTATATCTATCAATGCACTACTACTCATACGCTTTTCACTTGTCGCTCGTGAACAGGTTGAGTGGAGATTTGTGAAAATGTACAAATTTGCACTGTTTGAGTGTTGTCGTTGTTTTACAGAGAGTAAATGTCATGAATAAATTTGACATTAAACATAATCCAAGTTGAAATGTTACATCATTTTCAGCCCCCTTTTTGACACCTGCATTTGATAACAGGCCAAATTGACAAAGACCATGCAGAATAATGTAGTATTTTAATTCCACAGCAGAGAAAGATATGAAAAAAAAATGATATTGCTATCAGTTATCGGCCAAACAAGTTTTATCATATCAGATATCGAGCAAAAATCCAATATAGTGCATCTCTAACATTATTATTTGATTGTTTTGGATGCCATTTAAACTTATTTAATATATATTTTCTGTTTGTGACTTCTTGCACTTCTGATAAACAGTCCAAAGTCTGCCAGTTTTGTTGATTTTATGTTATAATCACTGGCATATACAGCAGTGTACATTTGCTTCAGGTAGATTATGGTGATTATACGTGAAGTTACTTTCTAGTAAGTAGATTATGAGAATACGATGCATGAATTTTTATTTTCCATTGTTATTCAGGTGCTGTGATGAAGTTACAACCTGTCGTGGGGGTTCCCTGTCCAGCAAATGTTGGTAGAAGGCATCAGCTCCCTGAGACCCTGCAAAGATCAAGCAGGTATAGAAAATGGATGAATGTATATATATATATATATATATATATATATATATATATATATATATATACTCGTCATTTGTCCATATAAGAGATTAAATCAGGTGCATGCTGCCGTGATCCATGGATCTGTGGTAGTTTTCTTCTTTTTGTTATTATAGCTTCAGTTTGTTTTGTCATGGTGTTCCTTGTGTTTCCTTTTGTATGCTTTCTTGTTGACTTCCTGTTTCTCCTGTCATTCACCTTTGCATTTCCTCAGTCACTCATGTTCTTTTCCTCATTACTCACCTATTGTACATTTGCTAATCTTCCAGTCCAGATACTCCCAGTCCCACTTGTTTGTTCTGCACCTGTTCCCCGTGTGCTCCTAGTTGGTTTAATCTCTTCTTTTTTTTTTTTTGTCACAATCCTGTCAACTATTTATTTTTATTATTAAAGTTTTCTAGCTCTTGTGTTCCAGTCTGCATTCTTGGGAAACATATTCCTGGCATGATGCTACATGTTGCTTTGAGAGGCAACAGCACATCTAAGCACATTTTTTAAATAAGATAATCATGAAACTTAGACTTTGTTTAAAAATAAAGTAAAGCTATGGCTTTCTTTCTAATAAGTGCATGCATATTCTTCAGTAAATGTTTTAAGATTTTTTATTCGAACCAAATAAACAAAAAGCATGTAGCTTCAGACACAGGAAATCACATCACTTTAAACACACTTGGGAAAAATGTTTATGAAAGTAATTATTGGCTATATATCTACAACAAATTAACATTATTCAACATGGCTGCTACAGTCAACTGACCTAAAAACACAAAAAAATGGATACAAACTTAAAATTAGGTGTACTTTAATACTTTAGTGTACTTTACTATAATTAGGCAGCAGACAGTCACCCCCAATATATATTCTGAACACTAACATATCATTGCTCCTTTTTTTGCCATAGCCTATTTAGAGTAGAGTCTGTCTGCCTGTTAGCGCAATATCTCACAAACTACACATTTTATTGAATTCTTCACTAAGTATACTTTTTGGAGCCAGTCCAATTGAACTTGATCTTCACAGTCCGCTGTCTTTAAAAACACAAAGGTGTCCATAATTCAGTCAGATATACTGTTTTAAACTTTGTTGTGGTAGTAGCTGAGTGTCATTTTCAACACTTACTCTGAGCTTAACATGATATAACATTCTGTCATTTCCTAAATATTAGTTGCTAGATACAATCCAAGCTGAATGTGGCAATGCTAATAGAAATTAAGTTAGCCTTTAGGTTAAGTGCTCAATGTTGAAACTATAAGATATCGTCATGAACACGTTTGGTGACGTCATCACGGCTGTACCTCCGTTGGCCACAGTTCTGCAATCAGCCGACGTCACCATAAATAGCGAAGCTAGCCAGTTGTTTTGGGGAGAAGAAGAAAAGAGCAGCGAGCGGAAGAAACGCCGGATTTGGATCGCTATTCGTTTTATAAGTATAGTATAGGTTTTCCAATTTTTAAAACACCTTGTTATCGATGTCCACACCGGCGAGACGACGGCTAATGAGAGATTTTAAAAGGTATGGAAGCGGTTTGAAAGCCTCCTGTACGTTTTTTTTTTTATGTGTAGCCGATGAAGCTAGCAGTGTTAGCTTAGCATTAGCTGTTGGTACAAACAGTACAGTCTCAGGTCTGGGCTAGCCATACTACAAGCTAGATTAATGAGTTGTATTTAAATTGAAAAATATCCGTGCCTTTATTTGGCCAAAAAGCACATTAGAAAGCTTTGAGAGTTTTGTCGGTATGAGGCATTTTCGCTGTATGCGGTATATTTTAGATGTGTCAAGGGAATAGCCTGTTCAGTTTTGGTTTTTGTTTTGCCTTGAGTTTGTTTTTTTTCTGACAGTTCAGTCAGTCATTGTGTAAAACAAATGTTTATTACGTGTATTCGGCATGTTTCAATTGTCTTATTTTTAAAAGTGAAAATGAAATTTTCAAATTCTTATTGCAGGTTTTGTTTTATTTGCTACCTTGTGTTGTTTATTTTCCTCAGAGTAACAATTAATTATCCTTTTAGTGAACGATCGTGTCAGGCTGTGAGGACAAGCAATATGTTTCACCTAACAAGGCCCTGATTGTAGAAGCTGCCATCTCCAATCTGTTACCTTGCTCCATATGGTGTCCTACACTTTACATTTGACACACACACTCACTGGCATTCTACTAAGAAAAGCCATTGAAGTAAGGAGGATAAGGTGTCACTGTAACTCAAATGGTGAACTTGGTGTCCTCATCAAGACCGCTTCATTTAACAGCTAACATTTCATATGGACTTATTTGGATAAAATGCATTCTTAAAGGTATTCACTTGGGACAGCTGCACTATGCGCCTACTACATAGTTTTGTACAAAATATCTCTTTAAAGCACATAAGTGCTTCTTGTACTCATTACTTTCAGTTTTTACCCTTTTTTTTTCGTTGCTTGTGAAAGCTACTTTGGTGCAAACATAAAAGGAATAATAAAAATGGGTGGAATGTGTGCAGCAGTAAAGTTTTTTTTGTATTTTAAGCTCATTCTAGTGTGGCTATGACGACTGATTTGTTTAGTTAAAATGGTAGTCAAGTCGGATTTATTTTATTTAGCACATGATGGTTGTCAGCTTTCTCAACAGTCTATTGCTCTTGTAAATTGTTGTATAATGATCGAAAACACAGTCTTGGAGTTCATGTTCTAGTTAGATTCTGTTTTTGTTCAAAAGTTTATAAAAAAAATATACCTATGCAAGGTGAGCATAAATAACCAATGATATGTTTAAATGCTTAACATTAAGGTCCAGAGTTTTAGGCTAAGATCATCTTAATTCTATGACGTAACTGGTACATAATTGTTGAAATGTAGGTCCCTCCATTTATTTATTTTCTTGACTTTTTCTTTCTGGGTAAGGTGCCTGTCTCCAGCAGTCATTTTGCAAGGGACGGGGTACCCCCTGGACGGGTGATACGTCCATTAAAGAGCCACTTGGAGACAAACTTCTATTCCCATTCACACCTAGATACAATTTAAAGTTACTACCAGTACTGTGCATGTTTTTGGTCTGAGAGGAAATCAGAGTATCTGTAGAAAATCCATGCATGTATGGAGAAAACATGCAAACTCTCCTTAAGCCCAGGTAGTGTGGCAATCATGCAACCGTCTCACTATAAGGTGACAACTTTTACCACTGTACAATCATGCCGCCTGTCATTTAATCAAACCTTGAAAATAAGATTTTTGATCTTGTGTGATATTATGAGATGTGTGCTGTTATTGACGCTCCTCCAATACTACATCAAATTTGAGCTCTTATCAGTAAATCTGACTGAGATGGACATTTTTGTGTTTTGTTCATGTTGGCTAGTTGTGGATGCCACCGTAAATTTGATTGACTTTAAAATTTAAGTTTCTAGATTTACATCTATAATTCAGTTTATTTATATAGTGCCAAGTCGCAACAGAAGTCATCTGAACAATGGGTATTTCTTTGAAAATACTTCAGGTGGTTCATGATATTCTGTTAACAGACAAATTAACTTGTGTACACTCGCAGACAAAACAGTATCAACCTCATTTGCCTTTCATCAGCGGGCGCTAAACATGGATTAGCACAATTAGTGATTTGCTGCAAATCTCCAAGATTCCCATTATTATATCTCATATTTCCCCATATTTTTTTAGTCTGTTTTCAGAAACTCAGATTCCAGTGAAATGAAATAAACATCAGTCATCCCAGTTCAATGGATTGAGCTGTGCACTCTTCAATCTGTGGAGCTCAGGCAGATTACTGTAAAGGGGGTTAATTGCAGTGGGTTTGTCTGCAGCCAGGGACTTGGACATGGATCTGCTTCTGTAGTAGCCATGAGACTGCAGACCTAATGGTGTCTGCTGATTTCTTCACTTGCCCTACATGCATCAGTGATCAATTCTTTAACCAAACTTTTTGTAATGTAATTGCAACAAGAGCCAGTCATAATTTATACTGTAGATTTGCTTGTTTGTGTTGCTTCAATTTGTCTGCAGCCTATTTTAGAGTGAAATTAGTTATGCTAGAAGCCAAGTGTTCAAAACAAATTTATAATGTTGACTTTACACCTAGTTTTGATTTGTTCACGCCTTTGTTGCTAGGCAGTCGTGCTCTGGCATTTTGCACTGCGTACGGTAATTCAGAGATCATTTGACAACACTGAGAAGTTTCATGGTGAAACTTCATCTTAGGCCAAAAAGATATTAATTACATTCTAATAAAATTGGGTCATCAGCTCAGCCATAAACAGACAAAAAGAAGAATGTCACTTTTTAAAAACTCTTTGGTTATTTACCATGTTAAGAAACAAGTGGGACATGTGGCGGTTCCTGTTTGGGTTCAGAGTGTTTTTATCACTCTGTGCCAAAATGCAAACAAACTTTTAATATCTACAGCTGAGTCTGTTTTCGTTTTCTACATCGACTGTTTAACTTTTGGAGTCGACATGATACTAGGTGACTACTACAGCTAAATGAAAACCCACACAAAACTGTCTAACTCAGTCATTTTTACAGATGTAGATTACAGTTTGGTGTGGTAGTAGCTGAAAGTCATTCGCAATCTATTCTTTGAACATGATGACTTAGAGTATCGTATCATTATTTTCAAGGTTTACAATAAGAACATTAACCCTCAAATCAAACTGTATCTCTTGCTTTGCTGTAAGAGAAACATTCTTGTGTACAAATTATTAGCTTTCAGAGTGACGAGACAAAACAAATATGCATTAATTTAAGTTGAGAGAACTGCTGATCTACATTTCTAAGAATGAAATCCATTGAATTCATTTCAAGCTCCACATAAAGCTGCTTTCACAGAGGCCTGTTAGTGCAGGCAGAGAGGGAAACTGTAACGTCTGACATTTTCTAACTGCAGCTGTGAGGTTTGAATATCAAATGATGTAATTACTTTTTGTTCCGAAGGGATGGGGAAAAAAGCCAGACTGAATATTTGATTGGCATTCACAGTTTCAAGAGTATCATGCATCATTCTGTAAAAACTCTGTCAAGATGGGAGTTTTTTAATTTATTTTAATTTTTCTGTTTTTATTTTAAATTGCTAAAACAAAGGGACCCAGATCACCTTTGCCTGCCTGGCTTTTCAGTATGAGGCAGACATCTTGCGCACAGTCTTTCCTGCTTGACTTAAATAAGATAACATCATAATGACATTGACATAAGCAGCAGCAGAGGCCCAGAAACTTGCATAATAAAGTATCTAGATTTTTATGTAATACTTAGTCCATTCCGAATATGTTCACACATTAAAATTCCACTCAAGTCTTTTATAGAAAACGGTGTACTCCAGCCTAGTCTTAAAAAATAAATAAAAAATCTTAAATAAGCTTTTATATTAATAAGAGCTTGGCTTTGATGCCCACTGCCCGTACAGTCGGAACAGCAGAGCCTCTGGTGAACGGAGCTTGTCAGCAGGACCGCAGTGTGTAGCTGATCTTGTAATCCTGGCTTTCTGTTCAGTGTCATGTTGCTACACTAGTTTGTGTTTCGACTGATTGTTATTCTGTAGTCAAGGTGTTAATTAAACTTGTGCTCATTCATTTGTCTTTTCTTGTTCGTGCTTTATTTTTTTTGCTTTTGTTTTTGGTAAGACTTTTGTAGTCAAATTGCTTCTCCTTACTTGGCTTTTTTTTTTTTTTTGCCATCAAAACATTCAGGAGATGGGTGCCATGTCTTTTTTTTATTTATTTTTGTAAGTTTTATACTTGCAAATATTTAACTTTTATTTATTAAATATTTTTCCCATAGAAATGCAATGAGATATATTCAATTCCTTCAAAAACATTTTTCAATTTCATATTTGCTTCAGCACATTTGCTCTATGTTGTCTTCTAGTTCTAATTTTAGTTTAGTGTTTTACCTACTGTCCTGTCACGTTGAGCTGTTGGCTAGACTTTAGCAGGAAGTTTCATCTTCCTCAGCACTCATTTAACGTTCATTCTGCATTTTTGCAGAAAATGCAATTTCTTTATCGTTTTTTATTTATTTTTTTTTTTAGAAAAAAATGCTGCTTTTCCTGGTATCCATATCACATTTGGTTTATTTAATGTGCATTTCTTTTTCATTCCTTAGGCTTCAAGAGGATCCTCCCACCGGTGTGAGTGGAGCACCGTCCGAGAACAACATCATGCTTTGGAACGCTGTTATTTTTGGGTGAGTCATGATCCATATCAAACTCTGCCCTGCTGGCTCTGATGCAGTGCTACTGCAGCCTACTCGGTGTTCCTGCGTTCCAGTTCCACTTGTCCACCTGTTTCCTTCTAAAAAAAATAAATAAATGTAGGATCGCAGCCCTGATTGTTCTGTAAAGTAATCAGAAGAAAGCAGGGAGCGTCACAGCAGGTGTTTGATAGAGAACAGACTGGGCTTAATCAGTGGGCAACAAAGAGTGCCCAAAAAAGTGTCAAAACCAAATAAAGTGATTATCGCCCTCCTACAACTGATTATCTTATGGAGCAAACCCGGTTCAAGATGGCTGCCATAGCCAATTGACCTTTTTATAAAACACAGAATTGGCTAAAATGTAGTCCATTTTTACAGATAAAATCTGTAATAAAATCTGTGCTACAATCTGGTGTGTTGCCATTCATAACTCGTACTCTGTGCTATTTATTGCACAATATTATTAGAGCAGAATGTTATTTTCAAGCTTGGATCTAATCGACTACGGCTCCGTCATTTCTCAATATAAGATCATCCTAGTTTAAAAATGTGTCATGAAATGTGTCGAGCGATACATTAGCCATTAGCTGTAATGTTTGTTGGTGCATGGTGTTATGTGCAGCTAAAAGAAAAAAATGATTTGTGTAAAAATGACAAGGAATGTTGTAAAAGTGGAAAAACACGAGTATCAAAGTCGAGGCATGGAGTCAAAGTGTGAATTAAAAAAATGTATTAAAAACATCTGATTCCCAAAATCCTATAAAGATGTAATGAAGATAAATGAGAAACTTAAGAGCAGTCTGTGTCAAAACAGGCTTGCTAATGGTAGATTACCTACAGTAATTAAAAAAAAAAAAAGATCAGCCAGAAATAAAGTCTGTGAAAGCAGCTGTTTGATTTGCTCCCAGCAAACGATGCACGTAATAAAGTCTGGAGCTGAGTAAATAAAGATGGTGTGTGGAGCTTATATTTTCCAACACACAACTTGTGATGGTCACATTTTAATGAAAGTCGAGGTCATTGTGAGGATTAACAGAAAACTTTCTTTTTTAATCTAGTAATAACTTTTTGTTCCCGTTTTCTGCAGGCCTGTTGGGACACCGTTTGAAGACGGTAAGTTAGAAATGCATTCCCTACATATTAACTGATTCATAAAAATGTATTTGTACTTTTCTTATACACAGAATATTAATAAATGAAGATTGAGGTTTATAAAGGTGCACCCTTCGTGGATAGTTTTAGGCAGTGTGCATGTTTTCAAACCAAGTAACCTAAAAATGAAGAATTGGCAGAGGGGGAAAAGGAAATGCAAAACCAGTATTTAATAATGCTGGTTTTGTTTTCTCTAGTGCGAAAGGTAAAGTTTGTATTTACAATATGCAGTTGCAGTGCTGTGTACTAATTTTCTGCATAAATACTTTATTATTGGAAATCTATGTTTTTGTTTTCTTTAGATGATGTCTTTGGGTTTTTCTGGTCCAAAATGTTAGTTAAAATAAAATTATTAAATGGATGTTTTTTTTTTTTAAAAAACACGTCTTCCTGTTGGTGTTGCAGATAAAGCAGGTGTTTGACATTTTTTCACCACAGAACATTCAATAAAATGTAAATATGTTTCCTATTGTGTTCTATTGATGAATTTCTCAGACCTACCATCGGCATTTTTTATCACTCAACGCCGAAGAGTTTTTGTGTGTCTGTTGCCAAAGTATCTTATGAACCACTGGACACGTTTTACCAAAGTTTTCAGAAAGTCATAATGCACATCTTCAACTACTGTAGTTTAACTTCGACTTAATTCAATCTCGAAAAACACAAATAACTAACTTGGTCAGTTTTACAGATATTGAGCTAAAATTTGTTGTAGTTGCAGCTGAGACTGATATCCCTTATGTGCTCAAAGTACATAAACGGATTGCACAAAGCATTTCTTTAAAAATGTTCAATTTGCAGTTAGCTCTGTCTGTTAGCAAAATAGCTCATGAACCACTGATTGAATTTTAATGAAACTGGATGTAGATGGATGTAGTCAGTTCAGGTCACAATGGTCACCACAGCTAATACCTTTTGCCAACACATGATGGGCTATACAGGTGTATCTAAAAACATTTGAATATCATGAAAAGGTTAAAAATGTGTCATTTCAGAAAGTGAAACTCGTATTACCAGTACATAGATTCATTGCACAGAGTGAAATATTTCAAGCCTTCATTTCTTGTAATTTTGAGTATGACTTACAAATAATTAAAAAAAAAATCAGTGTCATATTGTGAAGAGGTTCAGGATTATAAACTCATGATGTAACACCCTGATCAGCTGATTAACTCCAGACCTGTGCTACAAATGTCTCATTCCTCAAGTCGAGTTACTATTGAATCCGAGACGTCAGAAGTGTCTTACCTGCTGAGAAGAACAGGACTGTTGCTCAGTGGTCCAATGTCCTCTTTTCAGATGAAAGTAAATTCTGCATGTCATTTGGAAATGGAGGTCCCAGAGTCTGGAGGAAGAGTGGAGAGGTCCAGAATCCACGTTGCTTGAAGTCCAGTGTGAAGTTTCCACAGTCTGATGATTTGGGGTCATGTCCTCTGCTGGTGCTGGTCCACTGTGTTCGTCCACGGTTTGTCCACAGTCAACGCAGCATCTACCAGGATATTTTAGAGACTTAATACTTCCTTCTGCTGACGAGCGTTATGGAGATGCTGATTTCATTTTCCAGCAGGACTTGGCTCCTGCCCACACTGACAAAGGTGTCAAAAGCTGGCTGTGGAATATTCTAATTTCCTGAATTTTGTTTTTTCATTGAAGCCATAATCATCAAAATTACAAGAAATCTTCCAACATTTTTCAGTCGGGTCATCTAGACAGTTTCTTTTGGACTGTCAACAAGGCAGAGGGCCGGCAATGGAGGAGGGGGCGTACCAAAGAGACCATCTTATCACAAGCAGAACTGGTTTGTTCCACTTTGGAGTAAGCTGTTGGAGGAAGAATCCGTTTTGTTGTGTGTTTTCTTGACTGATGAAGCCTTCTGGATCGAAGGCGAAACGTTTCGGCACAAAAAAAAAGAAACTGTCTAGATGACCTGACTGAAAAATATTGGATTATATACCTGGATTATTGAGCATGGACTTTGTTGTTTACAAGAAATCTTCTTTCAGCTTTTCCTTCTTCAGGGGTCTCCACAGCTTGTCATCCTCCTCCATCTCACTCTGTCCTCTGCATCCTCTGTCCTCACTCCATCTACCTCCATGTCCTCTGACTACATCCATACATCTCTTTATCTTTTTCCTGGCAACATCCTTCTACCAATATACCCACTGTCCCTCCTCTGGACATGTCCAAACCATCTCAGTCTGGCCTCTCTAACTTTATCTCCCAGTTATTCAACCCGTGCTGTCAAAAGTACAAGAAATAAAGGCTTAAAATATTTCACTCTTTGTAATGAATCAGTTTAATGAGTTTCACTTTCTGAAACGACTTGACAAAGAAAATTGAACTTTTTCATAATATTCTAATTTTGAGATGCACCTGTATAAGTCTAGTTTTTAAAATGTATTTGGTCTAAAATCAGAGGTGGCAGTAGCCAAAAGTCATGCACAACACATACTCTTAAAGACATTTTGCTATATTACATGAGATAATGCATCACCTTGTATTCAAAGAATTCCAGGATGTAGGTTTTTTTTTTCATTTTTAAATCTAGCTGTGCAGCAGATTGTGTTGTATGTAAATGATATGGAGGGGTTTCTGTCTCTATACAAGACCAAAATCATGCAGGTAGTACTTGTAAAATGTAATCTTAAATGCTTTGTGAAATGTTTGAATTATTTTTTTATAACGACCTATGCACGCTCATTTTATTTAATGACAAATTCACGTTTGCCTGTGCACAGTTGTAGTCCTGAAACTGCAGACTTTAGTGGAGTAATGCATGTGTACTTCATTGTTGGGTAGATATTTGTTGGATTTGTTTGCTTAGTTGCAATCTTGCAAATAACGCACAAGACACATTTTTGGGGGCTTGTAGTTGTCAGGTGAGCTGACCTGGTTCTTTTTTCTCGTAGTCTTCTCCCTCCTGTGTTCCTGTCTAAACTTGCAGAATCAACATATCTGCGTCTGAGGGACTAGCTTATTTTAATGACTGATGTATATGAAACCAGAACACTTACTTTCACTATATTTTGCCACCTCCAGTCTTTTGCATCTCTATTATTCTTAATTTTGTTCTATGTCCTTCATTAATGTTCTTTGTAACTTTGGTCTACATCCCACACCCACCCACCCACCCTGACCCCCATCTACAGGAACATTTAAGCTGCTGATAGAGTTTTCAGAGGAGTACCCAAACAAGCCCCCAACAGTTCGCTTTGTTTCCCGAATGTTTCATCCAAATGGTAAGCGTCATCTCACACATTCTGTATTTAGATGCATCATCCACATTCTGTTTCAAACCCTCTTTGTTTTTAAATATTTAAAATCTGGGTTTCACTTCATATAAAATGTTTCAGATGTCCTGCAGTGCTTGTTTTATAGTTTTGTTCCTCCACTCTCTCAAGGCTTCAGACTCTTTCCTCACATTCATCTCCTCCTAGTCTTTAATTCATTCAACCTTTTTATTTAGACAGTAATCCAATATCATTTAGCATATTTAAGCTGGATTTGTGATATTTTTATTTTTAAATTTCACAATGGGTAGTTCGTGGTGACGGCAACGCAAGTGTGCAGTAAATGTGTATGCTTTAAACTGTAATTTACCATTATTAACAGAATTTGCATTTGTAGCCTCTTTCCATTTTTAATTAAACGTGGAGTACTTGTCCATAAACAATGTAACTGGTGCAAAAATAAATGCTATTTTTTTTTTCTCTTCCACCAGTTTATGCTGATGGCAGTATATGTTTAGACATCCTTCAGAATCGCTGGAGCCCAACTTATGATGTCTCATCCATACTCACTTCTATCCAGGTTTGTTACTTTGACTGCCTTGAATGGTGAACGGCATGCACAAGCACATCTCCAAAGTGCCTAACTGGCCGGGGGGG